ACTGAAACAACATACTGTAGGCCATTATCTGCCTTTGTATGTAGTTTTCAGTGACTTAGTGAAATTTGTACATTCAAATGTCAAAGTGAAATTTGTCACTGTGCATCTAATACAATTATATAGTTATTCAGCTTGTGTCATAGATAATTTTTATTTTGCCTGGATTTTTGTTTTCTGGGTTAGTTTTCTAATCTAATTCTAAGGTTAGAGACTTAGAGTAGAAGTCTCTTAGATCTAATTCTAAATTGGAGACTTTGAGTAGAAGCCACATCATCCATTAAAAATGGAACGGAATACATCAAAATATGTGGAATGGGGGAGATGTCTAGCAGCATTAGAAGGAAAAGGTAAACAATCTGCATTTTTCTGCAAAGAAGTTAAGGATACAAAACATATAATCTCTTTGTAGGGCCAGATATTTGTGGATCTGAGACAAAGAAAGTCCATGTTATTTTAAATTACAAGAATAAACCCCATCCAATCAAGAAACCTATCAGATGCAAGGTAAATACACATCTCTGGGTACCCAGCCCCCTGAGCTGGGAGACATGGATGGGGAACAGAATGAAGCCCCCATAATCCAAGGGGAAGTGGTTAGCGACCTGCTACACCACCTGGACACGCACAAGTCTATGGGGCCAGATGGGATCCACCTGAGGGTGCTGAGAGAGCTGGCAGAGGAGCTCGCTCTCCATCATTTATCAGCAGTCCTGGTTAACGGGGGAGGTCCCGGACGACTGGAGGCTGGCCAATGTGACGCCCATCTACAAGAAGGGCTGGAAGGAGGATCCGGGGAACTACAGGCCTGTCAGCTTGATCTTGGTGCCGGGGAGGTTATGGAGCAGATCATCTTGAGTGCCATCACGCAGCACGTACAAGACAACCAGGCGATCAGGCCCAGTCAGCATGAGTTTATGAAAGGCAGGTCCTGCTTGACCAACCTGATCTCCTTCTATCACAAGGTGACCCGCTTAGTGGATGAGGGAAAGGCTGTGGATGTTGTGTACCTGGACTTGAGTAAAGCCTTTAACACCGTTTCCCACAGCATTCTCCTGGAGAAACTGGCTGCTCATGGCTTGGACAGGCGTACTCTTCGCTGGGTAAAAAACTGGCTGGGTGGCCAGGCCCAAAGAGTTGTGGTGAATGGAGTTCAATGCAGTTGGCAGCCAGTCACGAGCGGTGTTCCCCAGGGCTCAGTATTGGGGCCAGTTCTGTTTAATATCTTTATCAATGATCTGGACAAGGGGATCGAGTGCACCCTAGTAAGTTTGCAGATGACACCAAGTTGGGCGG